CTGGCTGTTCTGACAGGCCTGGCGCTATAGAGCTATTGCCCCCCCCCTCGAATGGTGTGGTTGTTGTGTGCTTTTAAATTGTGTATTGTTTTTTTTGTCTTTTTTATCCCTTATCTGTACCCCCTTCCCTGACTTGGATTGTGAGCCGCCCTGAGTCCCCTTCGGGGAAAAGGGCGGCATATAAATGCAATAAATTCAATTCAATTCAATTCAATTCATTTTGATGGGGTAGTTAGTAATATGAACAACTGTGTGACTGTTATCTAATGTAACGGTACATTGTAACGACACTGCCCAGTTTTTTTTTTTCTAGCTCAGTAATACTATTTTCAATGGCTTACTCTGACTAAGAAATGTTTCGTTTTATGGTCTGACGAAGAAACCTGTTTCAACAAACACGGCATACTCTTACCTGAATACGGCTGAAGAAGCCGGCTTAAGTTTGGGACTTTGTTTTTTCTCTTTAAATTAATGATAAACGGGATGAGAAAGCTTATCAGCTTCATGTATGCTATGTTCTTTTGAATGTCTTCTTTCTTTTCTAGATGCTTTTTCAGAAGTTTGAGCTGAAGGGTGAGCCTCTGCTGTAGTCTCTGGTATGAGAAAGCATCAAGATGATCCTCGGTCATTCTAATTGCATTAGAGAGATTGTATGCCGCATCGAACAGGAAGACATTTTCATACTGTTGAATCTTTGTAGTGGCAAATGTCAGTTTAAGTATTATATGGTCCGCAAACTGCATAAAGAAAGTTTTTTCTTCTGCACTGTTAGGATTGTAAGTTGGATCTTCATTCATGTTTTCATCATAGATTCCTTCAAACTCTGGCTCTTTGGTAATGTCTATTAGACCTATGCAATATACATGCACACATAAGTTCTATAAATACTATATTAAAGATAAACATATTAAAATACAGATATATCCTATCGCAGGGGTCTCCAACCTTGGCAACTTTAAGACTTGTGGATTTCAACTCCCAGAGCAAAGCTGGCTGTGGTATTCTGGGAGTTGAAGTCCCTAAGTCTTAAAGTTGCCAAGGTTGGAGACCCTGGCCCTCTCCTATAGGTTGAGAACATGTGAAAGTGGCTTTCATCCTGCAGTTGATAGAGAGTGGCTAAAGTGATGATGGTGCTGTTATATCCTAGGCCTCTTTAAAGGAAAAATGAAGTCAGTTATATTCATGAATGTCCAGCCTTAATCAGAAATGAGATTTATTGAAACCAGTGGCAGTTGTATTAGATACAGCTCACTAGTCTCAAAGATTTCAGAATGCCTTCTCTGTGGATGATGTTGCTTGAATCCAACCTATAAACCTCAGAGAGTTTTTTTGAACTCAAAGGGAGCCTATTTCATGTTAAAGATAATCCTTTTTCACCAAGCATGTTAATGCTTGATTTAAAAAAATAATAATCAGAAAATTAAATTTACAGAACTGTTCAATTGCTATATACAAAATATTTTGGCCATCAATCTCTAACTATTGAAAGCCTTGCCAGCAATACTTAACTATTTTCTTCGGAAGGTAGTATAAATTTTCCTCACATTTGAGCGTACCAGAAAAACCAAAATAACACCATGTTGAAGGAAGGACCCAGAGTGAGTACCATGCATGCACAGGAACAACCAGTTAAGACCAATCATGTCTAGATGACATAAAAATCAAATAAATAATAACAAAATAAGGGAGCTAAAACAACCACTGTTACCATACTTAACAGTGGCCAAGGTTGGCCCAAGATGAAGGGCTGTTCAAGGACAGCCATCAGTGCGTACAACCCTCTATCAAACATCTTGTGTTCTCCAACCTTCATTACCTGCATTGTATTATAGTGAGGCTTGATAAGTGTGAATGTGTGTTTCAGCAATTGTATTCAATATAGCTAAGAGGTTAACAGGAGCTCTTTCTGCTTTATGTTTTCCTGACTCCTCCATTACAGAGTCTGGGAGATGGTGCTCATCAGATGAGGCAACAGGAACAAACAGTGGACTAATAAGTAAGGGGTACCAGGGAGGGCTGAGTTTTGGGAAGTATCACTACTGGAGCCACATTAACAGTGTGCTACTTTTACAGAAGCAGAGCCCAGCTATTAGGCTGAGGACCCAGTAATGGATGAATGTAGTTATTGGAAGTCTGGTCTGACTGCTACCACAAGTCCTGCTGGAAGGGCCTTGGTGACTACAAAGGATGTTGAACAATTGTTTGCGATTAGATAGTCAACCATTTGGTTGGTTTTGGACACTTAGGGATTTGGTTAAACTTGCTAGCTGGGGAAAAGATGAGGAGTGACATTGGATGGAAACTCTGGAGTGGGAGAGCCTGGGTAACAATCTCTTCAATGACTACTCTAGCAATAGCAATAGCAATAGCAGTTAGACTTATATACCACTTCATAGGGCTTTCAGCCCTCTCTAAGCGGTTTACAGAGTCGGCATATTGCCC